CCGGGATGGCCGATTTCGCCAATGAATCCTTGGACACCCTGAAAATACATTTGCAGTAAGTATTCTCCAACTCATAGAAACCAAAACGTAGGTGAGAGCGATAATTTTGCTTACTTTTTCTCCCTTTGAACCGGGACAAATGCACGGAGGCGCACATCCCTTACATGCAATGGCAGCCTCGACAACGAAACTGAAAAAAAGTGCATTGAAATTGTTCGTAAAAGGCTCTTGCGTTTGCAACATCCCAAAACTGCGAGCTTTTTCACTCAGAGCTCTGCTTAAACTGACTGATACGTACACCACATCAATTTACTCTCAAATCTCACCATCAACAACAGATGCTCTCTTCTTTGCCCGCAATACACACCTGCACGCTTGCAGTGCTGTATCACCGGCAGTGAGGGAGCTGTTACATCTTTCGGGAACGAGTTTAATAAAGGTGAAAGTAAGTTAATGTCAAACGAACCTTCCCGGTCGTTCGAAGGCAAGAATGCACAGACCCGCTAAGATCGCGGGTAACAGCATCGTTGTCGCCGTTCGCCGGGGCGCCGGCTACTGGTCCCTGAAACATCCAAGGAAATTCGTGTGGGTTCAATTGAAAAAACTCTATCTTAAGACGAGAAAAAGGCCTAGATTAATGAATGCTGAAGGTGATGATTGTCGATTAATGTTATTGTATGAACTATCCAACAGAGAGGGAAAGGGAACAGACTCTTTGGAAATGTCAAATATGAAGAGATTCAACATCCTCAAATATTTTCAAAAAATTAACGGTGTGGATGCATAATATGCCTCTCTGCTCTTGGCTGACTCATTATTTGGAAAGGATTAGCTTGAGAATGTGACAAGGAAAAGTATTTAAAGACTTGGCTTCTTCGAAGCGCTCCTGCCACGAATTCTCGATCTGATCCACCAATTTGCGAGACGTACATTATTTTGTAAAGGGGAATATTTACTTGATATTTGCTTAGTATTTTTTGTCAAGGTCCATATATGTGAAGGTTGGAATTCATGTGAGGTTGAATTTCTACAAAATTCTACATTTATTCTCCGGATTCCGTTTAGCAACATTTTTCGTAGACAATTCAGTGTGAGGTCAATCAATGCAACTGTTGCTGTGAAAAGGAGTCGTAATGGGCAAAAGAAAACGGAAGAACACGATATGTAACTTTTTTCTATGGAGAAATCTTATGTAGGAACGGACCAGATAGCGCAATATTTTAGCGCACCTCAATAGTCCATTTCTTACTATAGTTCTGGTGGTTTTTGATCTTTGAGGAAACCAAAGGATTGTCAGTTGAAGTTTCCGATCACCATCAAAAGCTATTTAAAGGATGATCTTTAGTCCTGATGCTAAATGTAGTTTTCCCTTAGAGAATGGATTTCTGAGATTCGAAGAGAATGAGAGATGGCTCTGCTTAAAGATAAAATGTTAAGCTAAATCAGAGAAGAATTAGGTACTGTAAATAAGGAGTAAGCGATACTAGGGTAAGGTTGTGTATGAAGAATGCAGCCTAGTCTCAGTTATCTAGAGTATATTATTGTTGCTTAAGAATGGATTGCGGAAAAAAAAAATGATAATGTGGATGACTCAACGCCGATGGGAAATTTGTCATGCCGTTTGCAGCTGATAGTATGTAAATGCAATTTTGACAATATCATCTCGGGGTAGAACTTGGTAAGGTCGTGCATAAATCAGTAAAAAGCAAGCAATCCTTAGTGATCCCGGCTTGGAAACTCTAGTTTAACGGTAGTACCTGACAGAGACTCTTGAGCACACTGATTAAAGAGAAATGGTACTTATGAAGGTTTGAGAAATTTTTGGGGACTAGATTTGAACGGCTTTTATAACTGCAGCAAAGTTATGAGAGCATATGATACATCCGATTAAATCGCTCTTCCTCTAAATCTGAGAAATCCTACTGTTGTCATTTGATCATCACAATCAAGATTACTACAACCTTTACCGATTCTTTCATTAGCTAAGGCGCAATATCCATTCTTAAGTGTGTAATGGGCGCTTTTTGCTGGCAGCCTCGTCAACAGAGAAAGTTTCTAGGCAGAGAGGCGATTGCGAGCAAAGAAAGCAGATGTCGTTGTATATA